CAGTTTTAAATCTCTTCGAAACCAAGTAAATCGAGAAAGGAAAATCTGTAAATCAAACTATTATAAACTCCGTGTACATCAAATGAAACAAACAGACTCCAAGGAATGGTGGAAAGAAGTAAAGCGTTTAAGTGGAATGGCATCTACTAGATCTAGTGATATTAGAAATATAATAGATATTGAAAACATCGAACAATTATCTGAGCAAGAATTAGCTAACAAGATCAATGAAGCTTTCTTGGATCCCTTATCTGTATATAAACTGCCGAGCCCCCTTCTTCCTTTCGAGCTAGAAGTTAACAACCCTGAGTTTTTAGTAGTCACTGAAGAAACAGTGTATTCATATTTATCAAAGCTGAACCCTACAAAAACTTGTGGTCCTGATGAAATATCAAATTGGCTTCTTCGTGATTATGCAGCTATATTAGCGTTCCCAATTAATTAGTACCATCTTAAATGCTTCCTTCAAGCAACAACGACTTCCATCGATGTGGAAACTAGCCAATGTTTTACCTATACCTAAATCTAAGACAGTTCAAATCTTAGAAAAAGATCTCAGACCTATCTCACTGACCCCGAGCATATCCAAAGTAGCTGAAGAATGTGTGGTAAATAGATATATCAAACCTGCGGTTCTGAAATCCATCGACTCAAATCAATTTGGTTCTATTCTTAATTCTTCAACCACTTTTGCTTTAATAGACATGTTACATCACTGGACCTCAATGCTGGACGGAACAGGAGCAACTATCCGAGTGTTTCTATTTGACTATAAAAAGGCATTCGATTTCATCGATCATAGTATCCTAAGGATCAAGTTAGTGCTTTAGATTTACCAACTAGTATCATCAACTGGATTATCGACTTTTTATCGGATAGATATCAAAGGGTTAAGCTGTCAAATAGTTGCCTTTCTGAATGGGGCCAAGTAGCGGCTGGTGTTCCTCAAGGAACCAAATTAGGCCCTTGGCTCTTCTTAATAATGATTAATGATTTGAAGAAACATAGTGAGAACTTATGGAAATACGTTGACGATACCACGGCGTCGGAAGTCGTATTGCAAGGCGAGCACAGTGAAGCTCAACCGATTGCAAATGAAATTTTAGATTTGTCCAATATCAATAGAATGCAATTAAATGCTGATAAATGTAAGGAGATACGAATTTCTTTTGTACGGAATCAACCCGAGCTTAACCCAATTACAATTGAGAATCAAATCATAGAAGTTGTATCCGATTTTAAAGTGCTTGGTCTTAACATTAGCAACAACCTTACGTGGAATAAACATATCACTGAATTAGTCAAGAAAGCCTCCAAAAGGATATATTTCCTTATTCAACTTAAGAGAGCAAAAATCCCAATACAAGAACTAATCACATTTTACATAACCTGTATATAAGATCTGTGTTGGACTATGCTGTCCCGGTTTTCCACTACAGCCTACCCAAGTATTTAAGTCAAGATTTGGAACGAGTCCAGAAACGCGTATTTGGAATTATTTATCCCCATTTGAAATATGAGGAAGCTTTAAATCTCAGTGGAATTGAACATCTTTCCATTCACCATCAAAACGGCTGCAAGAAATTGTTTAATGCAATTATCAAAGATTCTAATCACAGTCTACATTACCTCTTGCCGCCAAGGCATAACTCCATCCACGACCTGAGATCTATTAGATCTTTTGACGTTCCAGTTTGTAAAACCAATCGGTTTAATAGTTTTATTATGGCATCGAGTAGCAAAACTGAATAGGTTTTACTCTTCATTTACCTATTTTATATTCTTAATAACTTTTGCATGCTTATTATAAACAGACACTTTTGACAATTTAGTTAATTAATTATAATACTTTGATATATTTCAAAACTCTAATTTTTAATAATTTTTAATTGTAAGTATAATACGCAATTCAGCTCATGGCTGCAATGTATTTACCATTTCTAAATAAAGTATATAAAGTATAAAGTTAAGACAAACAGAAATCTTTTTGCTCGACTTTTAGTGATTTCAAAATCCCGGGAGATCAACCTGAAGGAATTACTTTTGTACAGTCTAAGTGACTATCCACTTTCCATCGCTACTGTGACAGGATGCCTTGTTAAGACATCGAAAGCCAAGATGTTGCATATCCTATAGAGGAAGCAGCCAACAATCCAACTGTAGATATCATGAACATTGGAGATAATAACGCACTGATTGTTGATGCCATGGCAATATTACAAGCACTGAAAGGGAAATGGAAAACATTTGGGGAGTTTGCGGATTCGATATTCCATTATTTGGTGAAGCTGGCAAGGGAATGCAAAGCTAATAGACTTGACTTTGTTGCTGACAGGTACCCTGCAATAAGTATCAAGAACTCGTAAAGTCCAAGAGGGCTGCTCAAGGCGTCCAGAGAGTACACATTTTAAACAAAAACCAAAACATTCCAAAGCAGTGGAAAAAGTACTTAAGCTCTGGAGAAAACAAGGAATCGTTAATCGCGTTCCTATGTGATCACTGGAGGAGTTACATTTCCTCGTCTCTAAGCCATCTAGATTGTATATACGTAACCAGAAAAGAGAAATGCCTGTTGATCACATCTGGTACCACCCAGACCGAACACGTTTCAACACGAGAAGTCCCTCAGCTGGAGTGTGACCACGAGGAAGCAGATACGCGATTACTCCTTCACTACAAGGCTGCAGCACTTTCCCATCAACGTATCATCATCAAATCACCAGACACAGATGTGTTTGTACTTTTTATTGCTATGCAGAAGACCATTGGCAAGGAACTTCTTATGACGACAGGAACTGGCAACAAATTTCGTCTGATCGATATTTCTTCAATATTGAATGTACTTGATGAAGAGTTATGCGCATGTTTGCCAGGATTCCATGGTTTTTCTGGTATAAGGCAATGTTTGCTAAATTTTAAATCAGTTATTTTTAGACGACTAAATCGGTTTTATTTCTTATCAGTTTCTTTCTTCCTGTTTTTTATAGGATGTGATTCCACCAGCGCATTCCTGGGCAAAGGTAAAGTAAAACCTTGGAAGGCACTGCAAATGAATCCGAGATTCATGGAAATTTTTTCTCAGTTAGGAAGATCAGCTGAAGTATCCGATGAGCTTGTCGTGTCACTGGGTACATTTGTCTGTCTTCTTTATGGCGAACATGTGTTGATGAGTGCAGATACCAGCTTTTTAAGTCAGGCAAGTATTCCGACGATGTTCTTCCTCCAGATAGTGACAGCCTTCGGCAACACATTAAAAGAGCAAACTTTCAAGCACTCGCGTGGAATCGGTGCCTACTAGCCCGATTACAACTTCTCCCTGCAGCTGGAAATGGTTGGAAATTGAAGAATGGTCAATTAGAAATTGTGTGGACGACTCGCCCCTCTGTTCCAGAGTCCCTTCTTGAATATGTCAATTGTAAATGCCAATCAGGTTGTAAGACAAAGCGCTGCGGCTGCTTAAAATCTGGCCTGCAATGTACCGATCTATGTAGGTGCAAAGACTGTCATAATGGTCAAGACGAAGAACATAATTTGGAGGAGACCGATGGGCAATTTCCTTATCTTAATTCTACTGAATGTGATCCAGAAACAGACGGTGATATATCTGATGATGAATGCTAGTTTTTGGCGGAGAGTGTGATTTTTATTAAGTCTCTTTAAAGTTAAAACGGGTTGCGGACTGTAACTGGAAACATTTGTTTTTATCACGAAATTTATCGGATTATTGGTCGATGATGGAGTCATGTCATGTAAGTTTTTGTAGTACTGTCAGCGCTTCAAAGTAGATTTTTGTCATCTAACCGTGCTGTTATGTTGTAAAGCTGTAAACTATTTCATCGCACTTATACGTACACGAAATGCGCTAGAGCGTAAATATTGATATATAATGTGGCATTTCGTCTATAATTATATTTATACCAAACCAAACAAACTGAGGATATCATTAAATGCGATATTAGGCAATGAAATAGTTTACAGATGTGCTAAATAACACCACAATTAGAAAACACAAATCTAATTATTGCTTGAACTCTTAAAGAGAATATCCTAGTGGAACCTGTGACCACATATCATCAGGGGCCGATTGTTCAAAAGCCGGTTAGCTTAACCAAGGGTTAGCATGAAATTCAAAGCAATCTTTTACTGCTTTTTCATAAATTTTGGAAATATTTTTGCAGGAATCTTGTTTAGATCAATTGAGGTTTTATTTTCTGAAGGTTTGAAATAAACAGACACACAGAAATAGAAAAACCAAAATAGTGGGTTAAATTTTAATCTTGGGTTAGCGCTAACCCAGCTTTGAACAGCTGGCCCCAGAGTAATAATCAGCATTGCGCAAAACCGCGTTAAAATCTGCGTAAAAACGACTGGAACTGGTACATTTAAATTTTATAGCATGAAGTTTCCTCAAAACAAAATGGCGGCTTTCGATTTTCAGGGAGTGAAAATTCGTGATGTTTGATCGCAAAATACAAGAAAACTGCAGGTTTGCATGTGCAAGTGACAACAACTGATTTCAAACTCAGCGTATAAAAATCTATAGAAATATGTCAAAAGAATTTAGTGCCCGAATGTGGACAACAAAAATCGTTTTCTCAGCGACTTTTTTGGTCAGAGAATACGGACTAATAGGGCCTGACACAAAACCTGTCTAGATCGTGGGACGCCCACACGCTATTTTTAGACACAGTCATGCAATATGATTGGCAAGTGTTGTAGATTTCATTGCACAAAAAATTTATATTGTCATGAACATGTCCGCAGAGTGTGCATTTTGCTTTTTAATTAAACTTAAAAATTCAAGGTACTTTTATATAATTAAGAGTTCAGTTTCTCTATTTAATCGAACAGCAAACAAAGATTTATTTAGTCAGTTCTGTTTCAGCGCTCCCTGAAGTTGTGTGGTTATTATTTTCTCGCGTGTGAGAAAAGTGTTTCTGCAGGTTTTCACATCGGGTTCTTCGGTTTCTTTCTGTAGGTAACACTGAACCAGATAAAACAATGTGTAGACAGGATACACCTAATGTCCGGAAAGTACTTGACGTTGGCTATACAGCCTCGTTTTTGGGATTGAGATATCGGCTTTAGAGACATTTATATTGTTATGCATGGGCGACCGGCACTTACGAAATCATTCAGTTATATTAGATAATATAAAAGACCTTTATATAATTAAGTCGTTGCTAATTTAAAGCCTGGCGCACACGAGAAATATCTGCTGAGCAAAAATTAACTCGTTACCATTGGGAAAAGCAAGTTCCACCAGTGGGCGGCAACGTTTGAAGAGCTTTTGTTCACGCGTGCCATTTTCGCCGAATATTCAACATGTTGAATAATTGTGTGCAAGAGTGGATGTCTTTCTCACGTGTGCGAGTAAAGAAAGCAATAAACATATTTATTAGATGGCTTTTCAAAATTTTCTATTCTGATTGGTTGACAAGCGGTCCGTAAAAACCCATATCCGGACCGTGGTCCGTATTTTCCGTATCTGGACCGGTGTCCCGGATGTCGTTTATCTGGCGGGAAATTTTTGCTTTGCAAACAGAAAAAATCTTTGCTTTTAAATTTCCAATTTTGCTTTACAGATAAAAACTTCAAATAACCAAATTGTTTTTGATTGAGCATGCATGTCTACCGAATATTGTTACCTGTGCAGTGAAACTGACGATAGCCGATTTAATTCGCGCGAAAAGCATATGCTCACAGACTCAGTTCAGCCATATAATAAACCGATTATTGACCTCGCTTGTTCGGTCTGTACTGTGAAATATCAGACCTCTGTTTTTTGCATGGACCTCGCTCCTTCGCCGTCGCTCGGTCCATACTAAAAAGCCTCTGTCTGATATTTCACAGTGCAGACCTCACGCTCGGTCAATAAGCCGTTAGTATTTGCATAATTATTTTGTATGCAAATGCGTATGTTAAGTACTCCAAGTGTGCGCCAGGCTTAACAAGATAAAGGGCACTAATAGTCGATATCTCAATCTTGAAAATGAGGCTCTATAGCCAAGGCTAAGTACTTTTGGAAAAGTGTATTGATAAAACTATTCGTGCATGCAGTGGAAATAAACAGTGTAAACTAACGCTGAAGTAACAGATTAGCGGTTAACAATTAATGCATGGATTACTTCGTTATTTAAGCTGAGATACCCTTTTTCCTCTAACAATTCAATACTCCCATTCAGTACAGGTATGTAGGCGGAGAATAAAAGATTAAGATACAACTGCATGATAAAAAGTGCAGAGCGGTTGCAGTCTCATGTAATTCGTCCATCGTGACTACGGTTGAAAGACATCAAAAGAACTTACATTTAATATTATATTTGCATAAATCAAGGGTGAAAAGTACAATTGATGATTCCCCTTATTACGTTTTTTAGCGCTTTGCATTGTGGTTATAGTGGTATCACTGATAAAGATAGCGGCCTCGAATGAAAATATTGAATGTTTTCGCGAATATTTTGCTGTTCGCTATCGCGCACCAGACCCTAGCTTTTTTTAAAAGTTCTTGCACGGTTCAGGACAAAAAATAAGCCATGCTGAATATCAGTGATACCACTATAACCACAATGCAAAGCGCTACGAAAACGTAATAAGGGGGATCTAGTATTGGCATCGCTATTCAGAAACTGTCAAAAAGTATCATCGATCAGTGATTCAGTGTATATGTATGCCTAAAACCAGAATAGCACATCCCAAAGACTGTGTAAAACTTCGGTAGTTTGATTCAATTTATAGCCATTTGCTACTGAATAACCAATGTTTTGATATATGTATGTTTAATTGTAATCTTGACTTATAAAATAAGCTATCCTTATTAACATAACTGAATATTCGTTCGTTTTCGTTGGGTTGTGCATGTTAACTATTTAGACTATAGTATAGTATTAATACTTAAATATACATGCTGAATACGGTAGGCGCTTGCATGGTATAAGATCTCGTCATGCTGGAAGGAGTGTGGTCAATTGAAATATTTATCAGGATGTAATGTTCATTTTTATCAATGCTGAGTCGTGTCTACTGCAGTTTACTTACAATACTTCGTTTGAAAGAGTTGTGGGCTGAGTTGGAATGTTCTTAAAGATTTGAATATAAATTTACAACAAGCAGGCAAATACCTATAAAATAACGAAAAGCATGGGAATCAAATCGTAAAGTTTGGTTAACCCATAACACTAGTTTTGTATATAGGCTTATGGCATGTATAATAATAATACATGGATGTATATTTGCTTTGCCAAAAGGACAGAAGTGTAGAAGCTTAAAATTTTGATACCAAGGTTATATATGCATGGTGTTTTTATTGTGCCGAAATTAATCTGTTATAAATCGAGATACCATGGAATTTGTACTGTTTTTTAAAGCACTTCGGTAATGCAGATAAATTAACATATTGTGTTATCTAAATGTCTCCCACATGCAGTTGGGAAATATAACTATAGCTTTTGCAAAGACAACATGGGGTACATACCAGTTTCGGTACATGCATATGATAAACGTCACAAGAATACATAAATAACTAGAGGGCACTCAGAGACTGCATACCTCCGCCCCCATTGAATTTTGGTCGTGTGAAATGCAACTAAGACAATAAATGAAGGCCGAAGCTTAATAGGTTTATCATCTCATTATTGTCTTCTTAATACTGCGTGCATAATTATACACGTCCTAATTACGCATTCAGTGAGTTTTTTTAATTGACCGGGAAAAGCAAGACAAAATTTTGTTCATTTCTCGTTCAATTTTTAACCAAATTCAACCAAATTTTAATCAGTTCTTCCTTAGCCGATGGGAAATGCATTCAAAAAATTTCGTATGAATATGTTTGGTATTTCTTGAGTTATCGTGCTCACAGACAAACACACACACACACACACACACACACACACACACACACACACACACACACACGGCATGTGGACACACACACACACACACACACACACACACACGAACTCCGAAGGTAGGTCTCATCCTGTAGTAACACCGCACCTTTAAGGCAGCAGGGAGGCTGAGAACAGTGGCTCTTAGTGGAACAGTCAAGGACAGTTTAAAAGTTATAGAACTTTCCATGAGGTAAAAATAAAATCAGATTTCGTTTTCATTTACATTCTTGCAGTATTAGATTACAATTTTGATTAATCTAAAAAGTAAGTTATAAAAAGTTTGCCAATTCACTTTATGCTTCACTACTCATTGACATTGCCACTGTTACATATACTTAATCTTTCAACTGTTTTTTTTTTGTATATACGATATTACTTATAAAATTCGTCAAGGTTATATAACTCAAGGATTCATAATTCAAAGTTACGCAATTCAAGGTGATACAGTTCAAAGGCAGATTGTGAAATATTTTACCATTAATAACAAATCCAGTTCCTGAAGTTTAGGTTTTCAAATTAGATTAAAATATGATGTTCGTTTACGAACTATACTTGATCAATTTCAAGCACGTTTTCTGAGGGACTGCATAGAAAATCTCCTTATATGTAGGCGATGTTTCCCGCTCTAACAATAGCAACTGGACCACTTAATTGGATCAGATTTTTTCTCAGGGAAACCTTTACTGTGATTAAAACAAAACATCGAGGTCTCCAGTTCACCTGCTTCCGAGTAACAATGGAGGAAATAAGAATCGCTGCTGATGACTTTGGATAAGACAATTGTTTTACCAATAACAAAGTGAAATGCCGGACCACGTAACCTGCTGGTAGTTCTAATTTCAACTTTAGATTTTCCTCCTCTGTGTATATTTGAACAGCGTCTTCACGAAATGACGCCAACATGATTTCATTATTGCGCAGACATTTTATGTTCAAACTGGTATTTTAACTGCCCAATGTGGTCACAAACGTAGATATGCCGGTCTTCGGCCATGGTTGGTGTCATTAAAATTGTTTTTGTTTATAGCTAATCTCAGATCTGTCTTATGCTTTGGAAGAAAATTCAATCCGCTTTTGTGTTTTACATATATAATACTGCATGACTCTCCACATTGTCATTTTGTGAAGTTGTTTCACAACATATCACCTGCTTTATGGACTGTTTACAGCAGAGTTATACGGATTGAAATATCTATCGAGTTTCATTTCGTTTGGAGGTTGGATCAATTCTTCGCCCCAAGATTTTCTTCTTGAAACCTCCCGCCAATTGCAGATTGGGTTGAAACTGCGATCAGAGAGTTGTATTGTTGGCCAGGCGCGCGGCGAATAATACTTACTGCTGAATTTCGAAACAAATTGATGTAAAACGTAGTTGATCATCATGACAGATCTGACATTATCAGCTCGTTCAGCCCTGCTGAAAATGGACTTAACTCCACCACCGAGATACACCGAGAATATCTCGCGAACACCAGGTAAATCATGAAGCTTTTCTAAAAACAATATGCACGAAGTAACCGCTGTGTCAGGAGTGTCGAGACATTCAAGTATCTCCGAAACGACACGGAGTTTCGCTGCTAAGATTCGATCTTTAATATTCAAATCTTCATCCCAAAACGCATGGGTTGCTTCCTCGCGCGCTTCTTGAAATCTCTTTTTAGCGGATTTAAAAGTATTCCGTGAGACGAGTTTTAGCTTTCCTATGCAGCAAGAAAGTTGCGAGGCTTCGCTTAAGATTTCGGACTCGGTACCGCTTTGAATTCCTGAAACTTTATCGCGAGTATCTTTAGTTACGTTCACCATAGCTTTCTGCTCGTCCTTCGACTTATCCAGAGAAGTAAAAAGGAACTCCACTCCTTCTTGTAGAAAATTGTAGCCGCTGAGCAGATCTTTGCGTGAGAGGTCGTCAAGTTTGGTTTTGGTGTCGTCGAGCTCTTTCGTGACTATTTCACGAATTTTTACATCTGTAATATCATCGCCTGTAAGACTTTTAGCAGTCGCACATCGGGCTTCGTTCCCCAATAATCCAACAGCGAAATTTAATACACTGGCGACAATTGAAGCCATGGTATTTAGAATTAGTGTTATTACTTAAATACGGTTAGACTCATGATTGTGATCTTGTTTCGCTTAAAAGAATGTTGTTAACTGAGATATTTTACATGACGCAATGTTTATTTATCATTGCTAAATCGTGTCTCCTGCTGTTTTCGTACAGGAATTTTTTAAGTACCAGTTAAAACACGCGTAGGCGTGTTTTATCATATTTAAAATGCGAGGGCGCAGCAAGAGCATTTTAGACATTATTAAACACAACCACAGCTGTTTTGAATAGCTTCAAACACGACTACAATAGATGGCGTCTCATTAGTATTCTTTATATAAAGAATACTAATTGAGGATGGACTTTTATATATAAAGAATACTAATGATGATGAGTTTTAAGTATAGGTACAGATAGGTACAGATATTTCACAGCACACTCCCTAACAGGGCTTTTCAGTGACTGGTTACATTATGAATAGATAGATAGAACCGGACTGACGTGAAGCAGACCGAGGTAGACTTTAAGCTTACAAATGGCGCTTGAGCAGCCGCTATTAGTCCATACCTCATTAATGATCCTCCAGACCTATCCTATGTGCCTAACCCACCCTGTCAACTTTCCCTGTGGGAGGAAACACGGAGTACCCGGAGAAAACGACTTTCGGCAGAGCGTTGACTTTTACTCTTTTCACATGAGGACTGTGTTCGAGTCACATTGAGAAGCTCTCACTGAGATTCGAACCTGCGGCCTTAGAGGTGAAAGGCATGTGCGCTAACCACTTCGCCACCGAATAATAAAGTATAAAGCCTCATCATGTGACATATTATGGTTGATATGATTTGCCAATAAGCTTATGAATTGTTGACGAGTGTTTGGTTGATGAATTGATGATGAACTGTTGATGTGTGTTCAAAAATCTTTAACTAAATAATCATTGCCGCTTTACTGCATGGAAAGTTTGCTTGAGATTGAGATATCCTGTTTATAGTTTAAAAGATTTAAAATACTTTTAATATAATAAGTCGTGCAGTCTAAGTACAATAGTTGGTTTGAAAGAGGTGTGGACAGTTGGAAGGTTCTGGAACGTTTGAATATAAATTAATAACATAGCCAGTTAAGAAAAGTGATATAACAATTGTTGTAAAAATAAAAATTTGATAGTCTAATCTAAATATGTAATATGTAATTAGGCATACTAAGTATAATACTTGATGTAAAGCGCATTTGATCATATCCTCATATCCATATGTAAATTTCCGCTATAGAAATGTTAAAATCTTATAATCTTAACGACAATAAAATTAGAGAAACTATTTTTCTGTGTCGTCGTGCTTATATCTGCTCAACTGCGATCAGGCCTATAAATAAATAAAATTTTGTTATATAAATTATTCGTAAAATAGAGCCTGATCTCAGGTTAATATTTGCTTTACCTGATAGAACTGTAGCAGCCTAGAATTCAGATACCTGCATACGTGCAGTTAATCTCGTAGCTATTGAACGTTGACGCACTCGTAACCTTGGTGAATCTTTGAAAATATAAACAAATACGTTTTTTAAAAGAATGTAATTTAGTCTAGAGTCGGAGAGATCAATTATAGCTGGTCGATAACGCAACCGAATGGGAAACACAACACGCGCGCGCTGTAAAATTTCCTTTTATTTTTGCGTTATTTTTCGTTCGCTAACTGAAACAGACATCCATCCATACTGACCTGACAGACATCCAGCTAATCAACGACCGACTCGATCCGAGGTTCGGAACAATGGCATGTTGTAAGCACTGGACTGAACTAATTTACTTACTTACTTACTCTTCACTTATTCTTTACTTATTCTCAACTGCAGACTGCACCGCTAGACTGCAAACCCTGTCCCTATATAGTACTATACTCATTTGCTCTAGTATTGGCACGAGTATACTTGGATATGTCCTCTTCTACAAAATAGTAAATTGTCTGGTGAATGTTAATTTTAAACCTTCTCTCATTCCGAACCTCGAGACCTACGAGATCTTCCACCAGTATTGCCACCACGTTCATCATACCCAAATGCAAAACAACCACCCATCAACGATCCTTCTTCATACGAACAACCCGTGCATGTCTTTTCCGTTTCCAAATATTATATGATTTCATTAAGAACTTCTTACAACGTTGACGATCCTCGCTCGTACAAAACCATCTGTCTAAAGTGTAATTGTGTTCCGCGTAGTCTTGCCAATCCGATCTCGTGTTGCATGTAAATATTGTCAGTTATCGTTTGTTGCATGTTTCGGAAAGAGTTAGTTCGTTGTCCTCAGAGCAGTATACTCTTTGTTTAATCGTTTCTCTCGTCATTATATGAGTTTAAAAGTTGGTTTTGTGTCGAATAGTATCTTACGACTTGCCTCTGAGTACAAGGAAAAAACTCGTTTCTATATTATCATTATGTTTGTTGTTGTTAAAGAGGCCGCAGTAATTGGCTTGCGCTGTTGCGGATTCCCTTCCATGTGCTAATGCTATAATCAGTTTATAGCCTATTTGTATACAAGGGCTAAGCTATTAAAATAAATTATTTAATTTATTTATTTATTTATTAGTTTACTTATAGTTAAACGTTCCAGAGTGTTCCAATATATCGCGTACGTTATCTTTTGAACAGAAATTATTGTACGTAAATTGTGGGGAAAAATGCCATTTTATAGTTTCACGAGTACATGAATACCATGCATGCAGTGAATAGCAAGTTACTATTGTTTTGATTCTTCAAAGTTGCTAAGTAAACGCTTTAAATTTCTAATTTTTATTAATATGTTTAATATATATCATTTATATACAGGGTGTATCAATAAAAACGCAACCTCGGAATTTCCTAAGAAATCACTTTGCAATTCTTAAGCATAAAAGATTTTAGGCCCCTGGGAATTGAAATCGAATTGCTAATAGATCATATTACTGTTGTTGTGCATTAAATAAATGCATAAATTTTGTTTTATGCACTCGCGTGTGCAGTAATTTTGACAGTTATGCTATTTTAAATTCCCAGGCGCCTAAAATCTTTTGTCTTTAAAACAATGTCGATTTCTTGGGAAATTCCGAGGTTGCGCTTTTTTTGATACACCCTGTATAACGTCGTTCCCACTGTGGGGTACATTCATTATTTCACAAGTATTTTAACTATTTAAAACCCCTTTAAACTGAACTTCTTAATTATCAAGTTTCCGAACTTCTCTAATTATCTAGAAAGCCGACAATGAATTATTTTGTTTGCAGGGTTTTAAAACGCATGCAATGGTTTCTTTGTTATTCATTGTTTGCTTATATTTCTCCGTTTGGTGTTCATTTGTGCCGGGTTCAAATTTTAAAATAATATTAATTTATACACCCAGCGATGTCTTTTCAAACCAAGTACATTGTAATTAAACTGTGGGAGACATACATGCACCAATGATAAATGAGCTGCATTGCATCATGTGAAATATTTCAATTGCATAAACAATACTCTTTCAAGCCAGACGTATATTTCAAAGCACATACCTTGGTGTAAAACCATACCTTCTTCATGTCTTCAATCGTAGAAAGCATTTTAAGCTCAACTATAGGCTTATTGCTGAATAAGGGTCGAGATATATTTGCCGAAAGTCTGAAAGAGGGAAATGTTGTTGATGAAAGATTTCGTAGAATAGTAACGCAAAAACTGAACGTCGTCAGCGAGAAACTTGATGGGCAGTGTCGCGCAAAGTTACTTTCTAGTCTTAATTTTTTACACGAAGGCGTGCGTTTGCTTTGTGCTTCTTTTAATATTGATTCAAAGGAGGTGCCGAATAAAGCTAATGATAACCGTGGTGAATCGTCAAAATCGCAGAGTGGCGCTGAGTCTGATATCATCTTGAACAAAGCGTTCGAACTTTCTCGCAACTTGAGGAAACTTAATACCGCGTCAGAATATGACCTAAAGGCGGCTATAAAGAGATTCGAGGCAGCGCGTAAGACAGCAACCAAAGTTTTTTGGATTGACACGTTAGATATGAAAGACCGACTTTTGGCTGCAAAAGTTCGTGTTGTTTCGGACGTACTGGAACATCTTAAAAATCCTAAAACGGCGATCACTTCGTGCCTCGAGTTTTTAGAAAGGCTTAATGCTCTACCTAAAATTCGTGCCAATTTCTCGTTGTTTATACATGGCGGTTTCAAGTGGATGATAAGCACTAAAGCTCAATGGAAAGAATTAGTCGAGCTTGTGGAATCAGTCATGTTAATAAATTATTTTTTATTTCAATTTGTTACCCAGTTCAGCGATAAGTACTATTCTGCCTGCACCTGGCCGACTATTCAACTTTCTGATTGCAGTATTAACCCATTAATCAGTTTATCGGGATATCGGGGCGAAGACTTGATCCAACTTCCCAACGAATTGAATCTCGATGAACAAATAGACCTGTATTGCTCCGTTGTAAATAGTCGGAGTCATATAATTACAGTGAATGATGACGGCATTGAAGTTAGTTTTCAAACAGGCAGACGTGAAATGGTCCAGTTAAACGACCCATACAGAGAAGATGTAGAGAGCGAAGTTTTCGATCAACGTACCACAGGTCTTGCTGTTGATAAGGACGACAATATTTATGTGTTACGATTATTAAAAAAACATGGGAAAAAGATTGATGAAAACGTCCTGGTGTTGTATGTACTGGATAAAAATTACGCTGTAATTCTCACCCAAATATTGAATTTTCTTCCAAAACTTGCGCTATTTTTTACAGGTTTAGTGAAATTGGCTGTTGGTAAGAACAACCAGACCCTCATGATTGCTGACTCCTTTGAATGTGCAGACCTTGTGTATGCTTTTTCTAACACTGGAGAGTACGAAGACAGCTTTCAGTGGAAACACTCTGCCGCTTTGCGATGCTTTTTGTGTGTTTTTGTCAACAACGAAATCATATTGGCCGCATGTGATGAAGTTTCTTTAAAACTATACAGAAACCGCGAAGAAAATACAGACATTGCAATAAAACTACCAGCAGGTCACACGGTTTGTGGGGTGGTATATCACTTTCTCGTTCGTAAAATAATTATGTTAACCTATTTCGAGAAGGACGATTCCTATTTCCTTCATAATTGTTGTAGCGAAACGGGCAAACTAGAGTCCTCGATGTTTTTTTGTAAGAAAGCCAACAGTACACATTCCCCTGAGATAACATCTCATCCAAGTGGTCCAGTTGCTGTTGTTAGAGAGAGAAGTATCACCTACCTTTAAAGGATTTTCATATGGCTGTGCATGGATAAAACTTATGAATTATACATGTATGTAATTTATGAATTATATATAGTTTATGAGTTCATATTTATAGAGACTATGTAATTTTATAACCTTGTGTTATACCCTTATGAATTGTTAGCAAAAAATGTATGTATTGTATAATCAAAGATATTTCACTGACAAAATCAATAAACAATCTTATTTCCGCTTCACCATATAATCAGTGACACTGAAAACCTGTTTGGGCACTATATTCCTTAAAATCCAGTCATGTCAAATTGTTATAGAAAGGGAAGTATATTCCTCTTCCCCCTAATCAATGTTCCTTTACAAAATCACGCTTTCACTGTAAACGTTGCATTATAGGCGGTTATGTATAATTGGCATAACTCAACATTATTAACACTGGGGACACTGGGATAAATGGGGCGCGAGGGTCACCAAAGCTCAAAAGATTTTCCAATGATTGTATAATCGTATAGGTTTGATAAAACATCATGCATTCATAAATCATGCATTCATTTTACTTTTGGTATATAGTATTTTAAATTTGTTAATATAGGTTGAAAAGTATCTTACATTTACTTAAATTAAGTATTCGGGTAGACAGACATATAGCCTGAAATTTTAAGTAAAATTGAGCCAGTATATCACCGAGTATATTGGTATTCCGCTAACCATGGCTAGGCCTGAATAATTATTGGATGACACTGTCATGTATGCATGTCAGCGTGATATCAAGAATTATTCAAACCGAGTGTTATTTGCTGAAGTGAAGCTGAGTAAGTCAATCCAATATAATCGTTTTAAGAACTAATAACAAGAAAGCGAAGACTGCATGGCAGTCGGTTGGAAGGATAAAACCCATAATATTTACGAGAGAATATAATAAATACTCGTCGAAGATATATTTTTGCATTGTCTGTCACTGTCGTTGTCTGACGAATCTACGTACTATACAAGCCATTTGTTTTGGCTTGTGTACAACAAGGAACTCAATAAATTCCACTAGGCATGCATCTTAATTACTATTCGAAAACCTCTGATAATTTAAATGTCTTTTTATATGTCAAAAATTGAATTTAAATGATGCTCTATAGCTTTGGATCAGTTATGTTTTTCACCACTTTCGACTATTTCATGGTCATTTTTTCATGAGTGCAGTCGCTAGAACCGAATACTTAATTTGTCTAAATTTTCCCTTGATAGCAATAAACTTGTCTTCAGATAGTCTTACGCATTCACAGCTCGCCCCAATTGACACCCAACCCCTGAGTCGTGAAATAAATAACAAACAATAAAAAAATTAAATTAGTTATAACTGCATGGTTATGCTAAGATTTAAATCTTAGGGTACGTTCACAAACCGCGACTTATAACAACCATGTATTAATAAGTTGAATATAAACAAAAGAGGAATTCAAAATATGTTTGGAAAATCCAGTAGCAGAAGCTAAAGCCATTCTTGTTCTGCCAAATATAGATGAAGTTTACAAGTCTAGCCTGAAATTGAATTACCCATGCAGTTTTAGAGTGCAAAAGCAGATTTTGAAACATGCACTTCAATTCAAGTAATTATGTTCTTTTATCATTACTGATGTCTCCCGTTGTTTTTTACAGATATTCTTGACTTGCAATCAAGCTCTTGAGAATTAGAAGACAATGGCACGGCGGCCATGTTGGTGCCAAATTCAAAAGAAGTTAATGGATTCTTTTGTTGAAAATGGACAAACATGGCCGTCGCCCACATCATTGCAAGTCAAGAATACTTGGGTTGAAAGGAGTGTGGGCAGTTGTTATTCAAGATTGGAATATAAAATGAACAACAAACAGCAGACAACGCTAGTGTTTGAAAAACCAATACTAGTTTAATTTCCTATACTAATTATATATAATGTGGTATTTTTGTTTGCTTTGCCAAAAGGATTGAAGTTCACTAGAAGCTTCGGATTGCGATACTATGCATTTAGAGTATTTTATTGCACTCAATTAATACTTAATTACGCCCGTATTGCCCACTACAGGATCACGCATGCCCAAATTATTAAATTTAATTGACTAAGCGATCAAAATATTTACTCAAGGTGCCTAACAAAATACGGAACTAACGTATACAATACATGTATTTGCTTTACCAAAACAAAGGATAGAAGTCGGTAAAAGCTTAAAATCACAGAATAAGCACCTATAGAATCTTATTCTGCGCCTAAAATTTAGATGCTACCAAGTATGTATATATAGCGGTGTTTTGATTGGGATGAAAGATGTTATAAATCGAGAAACCATGGAATTTATGCATGCTGGTTTAAAACGCTTCAATAAAGTTGATAAGTGAATCATATTATATTATTATCTAAATGTCTCCCACAGTTGACTTACAATGGCTACAGCTTCAAAAGACAACGTGGGGGTGTGGGAATGTTCTTGAACGTTTGAAAATTGATGATAATAATTGATTTAATCAACATGAATGTCATGCTGCAGTTTCGGTAGCTATATATACTTTTTTATTAGATACATGGATAAACGTTACAAGAATACATAAATAATAAGGAACGAACCAATAGAATAGTGATAGCCTATATATACTTTAAATGAGTTTCAAATGATTGTCATATAAAGCCAATAAACCGTAACGGTTATATGTTTAGTGAATAAGAATTCGTATGCCCATAGTTTTATATAAAAACAGTGAATCTGTATATCTATCTATCTATCTATTTATCTATATATATATATATATATATATATATATATATATATATATATATATATATATATATATATATATATATATATATATATATATATATATATTCTTCAAGTTAGAAATATACATAAATACGTTTCGGGGCACAGCCCCTTCGTCAGAAACAAAATAAGTTCAAATCCATGTCCTTAAATACTTTCGGCCCAATCCTAATTAACATACACTAATAATATATAGACTTGCATTAATATTCCTCCCTCAAATTTAATCCCAGTGGTACATATGTATTCAATTTTTAAGGACATGAATTTGAACTTATCTTGCTTCTGACGAAGGGGCTGTGCCCCGTATGTATATATATATATATATATATATATATATATATATATATATATATATATATATATATATATATATATATATATATATATATACTAATTATGATCTTAAAATTTTAAGATCATAATTAGTATATTTTGCTCTATCAATTAAATTTGTTATTGAGCACTCTTTTTGTACAACGGACAACGATTTATTATTGTATATATATATATATATATATATATATATATATATATATATATATATATATATATATATATATATATATATATATATTTTGAATTCTCTTGGGTTAATTACGCGAACGCATACATCAAATGTCGCTCGCAACGTACTGTATATTGCAACATTCCAGCAGCTCAAATAAGTAAAGGATCATTGCTTGAAGTTCTTACACATATTTGCAGTAGCTATCTAATGAACATTTGAGGGTTGTTAGCTAATTAACTCTTGTCACAATTTCGAACCTGATCTTTTTCGCATATCGTAATTTATTCTTTTGCATCCTTAGAGATTTAGACGCTTATTAGCATGCCTCGATGAATTTCTTTGTTTATTCTTTCGTATTCACTTGTGCTTATTTTATAGCTGTAACCTACGTCCAGAATTATTATATTTTGCCAACGGAAATTTAACGGAATCGATAGTCATTCGATATTTCATCCCCTGAAACTCAGCATGCGCAGCATTCGTGACCTGGCGAAGCAGGTCACTGTGTTCATTTCCAAATGTTCATTTCCTACTAGCCATTACGATTATGTTCAAAGACATCAATCAATGATTCTTTTATTCATTTGAGCTGTTGGAATAATATTGCAATATACAATACGTTGCGAGCGACATTTGATGTATGCGTTCGCGTATAATTAACCCAAGAAAATTCAAAATGGCCGACATATATATATATTCGAAGGTCAAACTTTTCTGGATCCAGTGTATATATATAGGGCCTATATATATATATATATATATATATATATATATATATATATATAGGGCCTATATATATATATAGGGCCTATATATATATATATATATATATATATATATATATATATATATATATATATATATATATATATATATATATATATATATATATATATATATATATATATATATGTATATATATATGTATATACATATGTATATATATATGTCACAAGTAACAGTCAAATGTACAAATGCATGGGAATAAGATATTTTATAGGGTGAAATGTATCATAAATCATGTATACCGCTCATAGGCTGCGAAAACAGCTAAAAATATTAAGATTTGGTATTCCCATCTTGCATGCTGATCGCGCTTAGAATGTACAATTGACTATGACAACCTTAATTGATATAGGTGTATGGGAGTCTGTATGGTACTTCGCCCCAATTGACACCTACGCTATAAAGTCGTTATATAAATAACAAACAATAAAAATATTAGTTATAACTGTTTATATACTAAGATCTAAAGCGCAGTTATCAATAAATTGCCACATTTGAATAACAAAAGAGCAATTTAAAATATATTTGGAAAGTCCTATAGCATGCAGAAGAAGCCATTCTAGTTTTGCTAAAATGATAGATGAGTTTACAAGTCTGAAATTGAATTACCCATGCAGCTTTCGAGTATTTTGTAACTTATGTACTTCAATTCGAGCACATTATCGGTTCATTTATCATTACTAGATGTCTCCCGTTGTTTTTCAGTACAAATATACTTGGTTTGAAAGGAATGTGGGCAGTTGTTTTTCAAGATTCGAATGTAAAATTAACAACATAAACAGCAAACAACGCTAATGTTTGGGAAACCAATACTAGTTTAATTTCCTAGATAATTATATACTGTGGTGTTTTCGTTTGCTTTGCCAAAAGGATTGAAGTTCAGAAGTTTGAAATTGAGATACTGTGCATTTAGAGTATTTTATTGTAGCCTACTTTAATTATCATACAATGCAGATATATCATTGGAAGTACTTAATTTACCCCCGCATATATTGCTCGCTAGGATCACGCATGCCCAAATAATCAAACTTGGTCTAATCGATTAAAATATTTAATCAAGTTGCCTAACCAAATAAATAGCTAAAAAAATGAAATTCAAAAAGGATGGGGTTTTAGAGGTCAAAAGGATGGGGTCAAAAGGATGGGGTTTTAGAGGAAAGTCAAAAGGATGGGGTTTTAGAGGTTTTAGACCGGTGTTTGTTTTTCAATGCTTTTTGGTCATTTTCTTCATGAGTGCAGTCGCTAGAACCGAATGCCCAATCTGCCGAAACTTTCCCTTGATAGCAATTGCCTCGTCTTCAGATAGTCTTTCGGATTTACAACTTTGTGATTTATTTCTATAACATTCCATTCCTGGTGCGCTTTTAACTCCGGCTTTCGTCCAGTTTTCGTTCGTGCCAGTTACCGTTACGGAACGCGGACGAGGGTTTTCGAAAAACCAATTAGAATCGCGCGCTGATCTCTGCTGACAACCTGGAAGGATATTACACGACTCAGTTTTCGACCTGAGTCGACCGTATTCTGGGAATGAATTTTCCAAATTAGATACAGTCGTAGCTCTTGTGCGAGGTCTGTCTATAACACAGACGTCGTTGTTTGAAGAGGTGCTGAGGAAAAGCGGTGATTCTGTAACCCTTCTTTGCCTTCCCGGTGAATTCCAAGCAGCCAGCTTTTGGTTTGGATGTTTCCAGGTCAGATACAGTTTTTGATCTTGGCCGTGATCTTTGCACCAAGCTGCATACATCGCTATTTGGGAAAGCACCAAAAGTGGACGATAAATTAGTCTTCTCTGCTTCCAAACATTGCACGTTATTCACAAGGTTAGAGGCATTGATCAGTTTGTTTGCGTTCCCATCCGGAGCAACGATGTTAATAAGTGTAGGGAGTTTAGTTCCGGCATTCGCATGGTTAGCTAATAAGCTTTTCCTGTAAAGATCTTCATCAGAATTCACATATCTATCTTTATTTACCATTCCTGTTGGTGTTTTTGGTAAACGATAAATTTCACACCGTTTGTTCAAATTTCCTTCACTTTCCACAGCTTCTTCCAGTTTTTGAACGGGCAAACTTGGTGAAGAACACGATTTCATATAAGGTGGTCTTCTCCGAGTAAAAAGCTTCTCATTCCCTGTGCTAACTGTTAACTGACTTGTGATATTTTTATCATCTTTTTCTGTCGTCATTTTCCCATCATTTCCGTTTGATGGATTGCTGCTTTCTGGTGGAGGTACTGAACGTTTTCCTGGAATCTGATTATCCGCTGGCACCGTATTAGATTTTGAATCAATTGTTCTACTTATTCTTCTTTGCGCGACTGGCTCAATGTTAGATCTAGATTCACTCATAGCGTTACTCGAAGAGGCTTTGTGGTGTTCTTCCTTGCGTAACACACCTGGAAAGTAAGAAGAGTAAAAGTAAAAATCAGGATTTTGGGCATTTACATGACTCTCGCAGGAATCGAATCTGCGGCCCTGCGATCTACAATCCATGCACAATGCATGAGTTCTATCGAGTGTAGATGGCCAAAATCCTGATATTTTGCATACACTTTACATTGGCATCACCTTAGTATATATCAGGGATAATAAAATAAATGGATAGGAAACTAGTTGACGTAACCTAATGTTTTCAATGGGCTGATGGCGTGATTGCATGTTGAAACCTAGTCACAGATGATAGATTATACCAAATGTCTCACTTAGCCAAAATTGTGTCCGCGATTTTTTATCAGCACGCGTTGGCCGCCATTTTGGCAGTAAGTGTAATCCACGCCATGAAACGTGAGCAATCACGCATTTTGGCAGTTAGCGCCATTTTGGCAGTAAGTGTCGCACGCGTCATCTGGCGTGATAGCCTCGCGAAAATCGCGGACACAAAAATCATAGGGATAGATACACAGTGAGACATCTGGTATTATCTATCATCTGTGACCTAGTTGCAAACCAAATTCTCAAAAACGGCATGTTTAGCAATAATACAGCTAAACATTTTAGTCAAAGAGAAAATAAATATAACTACGCCATTCTACGATGAAATCTCTAAGTATTTCCAGTCAATTTTAGCAAATATTTCAAGCACTGAACAGTGAAAAATGCATCGCAAATTTCGTTAAAATTGGGGACGCCAATTTCGTAGCTACAAATGTAAAAAAATACAAAACAAAGGCGAAAAACATTTACCTTGAATACTTTGTCGTGGCTTAGGCATGTTTTTAAAACAATTAGACCAGTTTATGCTTCAATATTACTTTTTTAAAGCGGAAAATATAGCGAAACAACAAAAATGCCGAGAACTTTTGTATATATTTGGAATATGCGTGACGTCACAGATTGCAACTAGGTTTAGACTGTGACGTCATGAAAGTTTCCTATCCAGTTATTTTACAATCCATGGTATATATGTATGAACTTGCGATTAGAGCTCGACAACTGTCCTCTGCAGCTCAGTTGGTTGTAGAGCGCTGCACCGTAATCACATGGTCGCAGGTTCAATTCCGAGTCATCACAAGGTCGCAGGGTTTATAATTGCGTTTTTCACAACAGCTCTTAGTTAGGTCCAATATTAAATGTACAAAATTCACATTCGAAATTTCCATCTACAAAACTCATCTACTAAAAGTAAGAATCGCTTGGCAACAATACGTGGTCACAAAAACAACTAAATTATTTGCTTATTTACATTACGTTAGAGATGCAATGTATAAAGTTAGCCAATTATTGGATGAATGACCTCAAATCTCCACTATTCGGTTTCACTTGCAGATCTAATATGGGGTACTAACCGACAGCAAGGAAGATTTTTGACTAGCCTGAGTATCAGATCATTTTCCCTTCCTTAAATGTGGGTGAATGGGAGGGAAAATAGGGCCTGACATAAATGCCTTGTTTGGGCCTTGGGTCTGTTGCTAGCCTCTCCTTACTGTGTGTTTTACATTCTTCCACATAGCTTTCTGGTGACAGTTTACTATATAGTTTACATTATTGTTCAAGCCCGCTGTGGAAAACAGCAGGGCATAGCCAGCCCCAGACGTGTGGGGAGGTGGGGGAGTGGGTTCATCTGTTGAATACACAGAACAATTAAGGGGAACTGGCCGTCCGGTGGCATGGTCCCCCAGAAGATTTTTCTATTTTTAGTGTCTGCGAAACGCTTTTTCATGAAATTTTAGACCCGTTTGGCCGTTTATGGTAATATGAAAGCCCGGCACAGATTTGGTAAACTTTACGAGTTTACGCCCCCCCCCCCATTTCTCGTCAGTTTTGGAAGAATTACAAAATTGGTCCTGAAGAAAAGTGTGGAGGGAGGGGAGGCGGACCCTCCCATTTTCCCCCGTAGTTACGGCCCTGGAAAACAGTTAGGTGGATATTATAAGCGTGTTTAAATAAAGTTTTCCTATCAATACCTCCAGTTGCATAGTCTTCTTCCCATTGCTCTCGAAACGATTGTATCGAACAGTGAGCAATTTTCTCATCTTTTGATCCAAATAACGGTTCTTCATTGACCATTATTGGTCCGTCGTTGCCATTTTCAATCTTATCATCGACTACTCCCTGCTCTCTCAATCCTTGTTCCCTGTCATCAACAGTTTTCCCACTTTTCATCACAAAAGATGAATGATATTTTGACTTCTTTGTCAAATTGTTTGCAGTGCTACCTCGTTTCTTGAATCTTTGTGATTTTTTCGGTAAACCTTTATTGATTTGTTGAATTGCTTCTCGCACTTTAGTAATTTGGAGCAATTCTCTTTCGACGAGTTTCTTCTGTCTGTCATAAATATTCAACTGCTTTTGAAGGGTAACGTGATGCATGTAGTTTCGATGGGTCAGTACTTTGTGTAAGTGGGTATTTGTTGTCTCCGACTGAGCCATTATGCATGTAAGTTCAGCTGTGACAAGGTTTTAGAAGTCTTGTACGATTACCTTAAATAATAATAATAGTTATGTAACGTAAAGTTATAGAGCACATGAGCATTGTTGAAGTGATTTACAGATTGAAATTTTGAGTGGAATTTTTACACATAATTATATTACACATTATTTTTACACGCAACTAAAGGCTCTCTGGCAGGAATCGAATCTATAACCAATTAACCTTTCTCACGCCGCCAGTTTTGGGTCGCATTTCAGCCGAAGTCTGCGAGGTAAGTCCACATAACAGCGACTTTTTATAATTTTTTGGACGAATGATGGTAAATTTGCTTTGTAAATGGTTAGTTTATTTTGAAAAATTGCTTTTCACATTGTTTTAATTGTCTGCATTGGTTAACGAGAATTAGATGCGACCCAAAAATTCGTCATCGTGAGAAAGGCTAATTGACGGCTACAGAGGTCAGTTGTCGAGCTTTACTGAACAAGTTCATCAACATGGGTATATATTATATCAAGATTTTGGGCATCCCACTCGACAGAACTGTTAGTTCAGTTCGAGACAACGTACACATGAACTTGTGATTAATACTCGACAACTGGGCCCTGTAGTTCTGTTGGTTAGAGCGCTACACCGGAATCGCAGGGAGGCAGGTTAGATTCCTGCCTGAGGGGCTAGTGTTGCATTATTCGTAGGTGCTTCTGGTTGGGTCCAAAATGTATTACACTCGAAATCTAAAAACTCCTTCAATGTAAAATAATGTACGCATCCTGCATTTAAATGTTACTGTATATACACTGCAAGTGCTGCCTATATAGTAACGCACAAATTGCACAATTTTTGTTTTAAAGGTGACTTATTTTGACGAGCTAGTTTTACCTTTACCATGCATCAATGATATTTCATGCCATAATAATTTCATTGTTTTTACTTGATCAATACAGTATGTTCTATTCATGATATTCATGATGCTAATCCACAAATCAACCATCTTGTCAATTTTAATCTCTCTAGAATACTTACGTCTTTTAAAGAGTTTTGTTTGTGTCCCGAACCAGAGTGCTAGCTTCTTCTGATAAATTGACACTGTCCACTAAAATATACCTGAAAGGAATCTAGGGATCTCTAAGCATCCATGCATGTATATAAAGCAGAATAAAAGCTATACTGCAACCACAGTAGTTATATCCTAGCAACAATTGAATAGTTATTGAACAAAGTGATAATATAAGATCTAGAGTTATGAACTGTATAGAAATGTTAGGTAGTTCTAGGTGATTAAAAACCTATCTATTTCGCTAATGATATTTAAATAAAACAAAACTACCGAAGTGAGATAATCGTCTTGTATAGAACCTCAATATAATTATAATAATGAGTTTGTGAAGAGCAAAAATTTAAAATGGCTTGAGATTTGTTACTCCTATTTCTGGGCACTTGTGACCGACAATTTTTCTCCAATTTCGAATTCTGTCGTAGTGAGACAAAATGGAATTTTTGACTAATCAATAAGCATATACGGACAGGCATATATATAGTGGATCCAAACAAGAAACATACCCAGGAGCAGTGAACTCTATACAGTACTGGAACGATAACTCGGGCTTGATTTTTCAAGCCAAGATGGCAATCTCGTACCCAGAGTATGGCCGTTCGCAGGTTAGGTCAGTGCTGCACCTAACCTGCGAACGGGCATACTCTGGGTATGAGATTGGCCAAGATGGCGGAAATTAAAGCTATTTTTGTAGGTATGATCCAGGCCCCTACGCGGAAATTCATTAAATTTAGTAAGAAAAAACCCGACCTTAGTTATTTCATGTAAACTTTCATATTCTTCAGCCAATTGTTTGTTAAGTCGGGCTTTACTATGCCCGTAGGATACAAGTACAAATGGACTTTCAGAATAAGTAAATTTTCGTCATAAGTAGCTAAGTTACTCATGAGTGAAAAGTAAGTTCGCACAAAACCCGGCTGAAAAACGTCAGCAAATATTTGTTTTTTGGGTTATATCTATGTGGGATTTGAAAAGAAAACAGAATAATATGAACTGCATTTGCATCATTCTTACCTTTCTGTTTAGTTTTTGGCTTTTGGATATGTTTTTAGTTCTATGAAAGAGCATTTTTGTGCAAAAATTGAAAAACTTTAACACGTGTTTTATACTGCTACAAGAGAGCACTCTGGTAGGCCGCCACCTTGGCTGCACCCATTAATCATAGGACAGTTTACCTGCAGTTACCGTTCCAGTTATAACAGAGTTCGCTTAATAAATTATATTCAAACTAGGCCGTACTCCCGTGGCCGGTTGGTGCACTATCAATCCAAATTAGCGACTAATACATATTTCAAGTGGGTTATACTCGCTAGTCGCTATGCGCACTCGAATGTTTATACTGTCGTTGTTGCATCAATATTGAATAACCTTGACCTTATTTTAGCGAAAATCTTGTTTTTCTCCGCTTTTGTAGCCTATTTGCTTACGGTTCGGGCAACGGTTATCGTGGTTTTGTGCAGATAAGCTATAATAATGACTACATATGGCCAATTAATATGGCCTTACTTTCATTGCTAATCGAAAGATATGTATATAGAGCAAACTGACAAGCGGTTAGAGACCGCCTATTGCGGCTTAAGCCACTGGTCTGAAGACTAACTCTGGATAGTGCATCCGTTACGGCCCTGAAGCGTATGGAAATTAATGAAATAATTTTCATACGCACAAAAATCCTTTGAAATGCCAGCGTTTGAGTACCGTACATCTGTCGTACCTCTAGCGTATTCAGCGTGTGCCTAGAGTATGCTTATCGTATAAAACATACGTCCAATACGCACAAAATTTTTGAACATGCTTAAAAAAAATTTTCTTCCTCGGCGTATGCCACCGTATGCGACCGTGCTTGAAACGTATACAACCTATGCCTAACGTATCCCTAGCGTATGTCAGCGTATACCGGCGTATGAGTGATATTTTTCATAAGGTGGCATACGCTAGTACGATACGCAATAGTGTGACAGGGCCTTTATGTATAAATGAAGCCAATGTCGGCCATATTGACGTGATGATGATCGTCATCACATATCTACCGTAGTGTTGCTGACATAGTGCATGGACGAGATTCTCCCGGCCAGTTTCTGGTTATATCGATTGGAAGGGATAAACATTGTCCGTATCGAATTGTATATGCTGTGGCCTCATCGGAATCTTCACTTATTATACATTGGGTGATCCCAGTCTTCATTAGATATGCAAGTTGTGCGTCTGCTTCGTATGGTGCAACAATACAGTCAACGCCTTTCTCACGACATGCTTTCATAACATTAAGTGCCATCTCTGGTGTGATAAACGTAACTGATCACCCCAAGATGGCTTCCCATCTCATTAATAACACTTCCAAGTCTCATTAATAACACTTGCATATTGACACTGATTAAGATGTCAGCAGAACTCTGTTTGCAACGAGGAAATCAATATAAGTTTTTTTCTTAACACGTTTACATGAACCCGGGTGGGATGAATTTGTTTTCGACCCGGGTTAGCTTATACCAGGCTTACCCAATTTGTGTACTTGTCCTACAGCGACCTTCGTTTCACATTTTAATTAACATATCATGCAAGTGTTGCATTTATGAATATATACAGCTTCTGCAGACCACAGCGCAAGGAAAATCACGATGTTTATTTTCACGATAAATATCTGTCATTGGGACAAATTGGAGGACGATGTTGTATACGACATTTGAAATACCTTTTGAACATCGTTTTCAGTAAATAATGTGCGTCTGTACCATCTTCACTCTTTACACGACATCGGGTCCACCCAATCCAGGTTTACATGAAGAAATAAACACAAATAAAGAAATGTTTTACATGAAGAAATAAACACACCTTGCCAACCTTGGTCGACCCGGATCTCAACAAGGGTCATGCCCTGAGTTGGCGAGGTGCATGTGAAAGGGTTTACCCGACGCTGTCCTGTAAACGATAATAGAAATTTATTAGTAGACATGTTCACCCAGGCTGCCAATAGAATATTCGGCAAGAAAACATTACTCACAGCGGTTATCATTAATGATGAATCACTCTCTGAGACATACAAGCGTTGCTTTGGCTATATGACATAATTTGTTTTGTCATTTGCATAATTTGTGAGGGTTTTATATGTTCCGACGCGACAAGAAGCCGGTAATTTTTACACGACTATTTGTTTTGCATAATGGATATTAAACAGCTATAATACTTCTTTGACTTTGTATTTTTACTTGGAGTCGATAGTCATACATGAGTTATATACAATTGTGTAAATTCGGATTTAGTCTTTATTTTCTCAATACAAAGTTTCATTAACCGCATGACTGCCGTTGATCCCATACGAATCGAAATGCTTGCCAAAAAACGCCGTTTCCTGCAAACCCACTCAACAATTAAAGATGCAGGTATATATGGAATATTAAAGATCCGCGTTTAATTAGCAATACATGTTATAATATAGTTAGTCTATAATAACAATATTGTGAATAACACCCAACATATTCAAGAACAATTAAGAAGGCACGAACTTGACATTTATAGCTGCAGAGTGGCGGAGTGAGGGTTTGAATATAGCTAGTATACAATATGTTGTAACAGATAACAAATCAGGAAATGTGTTGTGATTATATGATTTTAAGAATGAAAAACAATAAAATTAAATGATACATTCTCTAAAGAACGAGTCACAAACGCGCTGGCCACTTTTTACTGAACTTAAAAGCAACCAAAAACATAGCGAATATATTGCCATGATTACATTAAAAAGATTGAGTAAATCTGAAATTTTACTAAAAAATACGCTCATAAATTTGAGTAATCTTTCTCAAGATTTTCTGTCATTCTCGGCACTCGTGTCACGTGTATAATTTTACTCAAGTAATTAATTTCGGAGTCAAAATACTCAGGGAGCTTTTGCAGTGTAATTAAGGTGTTTAGACAGATGGTAAAATAATATTTCTATTCCCAATGATGAATTCATGCATGAATTTCTAACTTTTTGATATTTTAATGATAAGACGTGCGAGAAAAATTTCAATGTTGAATGTACTTTTTTGAACTGAATACCAACCAACTACCATGTCGCGAAAACGATGCCCACTCCACATGCATCGGGGCTTTTCCGAATTTCAGTGACTGATTATACATCAAGTATCAAGCTAGCGAACTTATATATTGCATATACTTAGCCTATAGACTGTTTATTAGAGAACAATATAGCGATATATTACTTTCCTAACTATGTTTCAACTATATATATATATATATATATATATATATATATATATATATATATATATATATATATATATATATATATATATATATATATATATAAAGATAAAATAAACCTGGTTTACTTCATAAGATTTATTCACTACAAACTTGTTTCGTATGACAAGCAATGCTTGCCACACTCATCAGGTGAATTTAAATTCACCTGATGAGTGTGGCAAGCATTGCTTGTCATACGAAACAAGTTTGTAGTGAATAAATCTTATGAAATAAACCAGGTTTATTTTATCTTTATCTATATCTATATCTATATATATATATTATATATATATATATATATATATATATATATATATATATATATATATATATATATATATATATATATATATATATATATATTTATATATATATATATATATATATATATATATATACTTCCTCCAATATTCATACATAAGGAATCATCAAGTGCATGCAGCTTGGTACGCCTAGATACGACATGTTTATATTAGTTAATCACTGCATATCTCAACGATACGACTTTATTGCCTTCTTCATTAACTACGGACTTTATACTTTAATATAATCTACATGTTGTACACAATTGTACAGCAACATTTTATGGTGTAGCATGATGTTTTAACTAAACTATAGATAAAAATGTTTCAAACGATATAAAACGAAAACTACTGAAATGATAGGAAAATTTCATGTAGTAATGTATAATCATCACCAGAAAATATCCTGTACAATTGCGCTTGGTTTTTAGCAGAAACAATGTATAAGCTATAGACTTAAATGAATTAATATATCGCTCTGCAATTAAACGATCTAAGACTTAAAGCCCTCTTATTATAAGATCTATAATACATAATATATTCATAAACTGCAGTATGTCTTCAATGAACACAATACAATGCCAAAATAATTCATGAAATTATTGATCTTTTGCTGGAAAACTATACTTTCAAGCTAGAGGTATAACTCAGTTTATAAAAAAATGCGGAAAATTTGCTTGTTATTCAACAGAGCAGAATAAAAATTATCATTAGAAGTCGCCAGTGATATTGGCATACGTTGGCGACTATATGTCAATATATAGTTAACAATCGTCGAGGCATTGTGCTTATGTTCTGATGATAGGCGACTAGTGGCCTTGATATGCGAAATTTATTAATATTTTGAATGACAGTTGCCTTGGTAACTGAATTTGCCATATTCGTGTGATATGACAAGTAAACGCGCTAGGCCAATGGGGATCGAGGCCCAGCAGAGAGTAATTCGGACATCAGGAAAAATAAAATACGTTGAAATTTAGCAGATCATCCGTATGTCAATAAAATTATCCCGTAAACCAACAGTAAACACTCCCGTTAGCATCGGAAATTGTCCGAAAAAACTCCGGAGCTTCATTGAACGGGGAAAACATTAGCACTTGGGACACAAGTTGTCTTGCCTTTCGTCTATAATTGTCTGTTCAATTAACAGCGAGCGTTGACAAAGCTCAAAACGCGGCCGTTATTATTCAGAGCAGGTGATAGCATCGTTCGCATTAGCATAAAGCTACGACTTCAAAAAGCTAAACGCATCTAGGCTGCTAGAAATTACTCGCCCGGCAAAATGGCTGCATTTTGCAAAAGCAGGGGCCGACTAAAGGAAACCACGACTGCGCGATGAATTACGGCTGAGTGAAGAGCTTTTTAGATCTTCGATGGCTGATCCGTTGAAGTTATGAAGCTTTCGGGGAGTACGAAAAAATTATTAATAAGAATTGTACTCTTTCTTTTATACCTTGTCATCGGGGCTGGGATATTTGTGGCTATTGAAACGCACGGTGAACAGGACGAACGTCGGAAAGCTGAAGAATTTATTGAAGAAGTAGAGAATTTAACAAAGTATTTTAATTCTTCGGAGAAAGTTACGAAGTTTTTATTGGACTTTAAACACGCTTTGCGGTACGGATATAACATCAAATCGAACGATTTTGATCCACCAAAGTGGAGTTATATGAATTCGTTTTACTTCGTTGGAAATATTGTTACGACAATTGGTAAGTAGTAAAACCAGGATTAATTTTTTCTTATATTCTTTAATCTATATAGTATTAATAACGCGCCCGTGGGGTTATACAACCTAAAATGCTCCTCATATAATATTTGCATGGCAACGGCGTGTGATATTATCAAACACAATGTGTCCATGATCCGCGCGAGCATTATTATTTCATGAATTGTATCTAACCGCGTGCATGTCACGGCTTGCCATTTTACTGACTAGTAAGGTCTCATAGAAGCAATATTTAACGAGCGCGAATATTGTTGGGTAATTTTACGGCCATGGCTTACTTCATAAACGCTATATTTCGTTGAAGTTATTACACGATAGGGCTTGGCGAGTATGGCAATATGTATGCAGCTGTTTCACAACTGGTCGGGAATGTAATTCGGTTGTTTTTCTCGTTTTCGGCCCGAAAAGAACATTTAAGCCGCTACAACAAAGGCTTCGAGCCAACTAAACGGCCAAAATTATTTGTACTTCCTGCAGCAATACAACTGCCGATTTTGCAACAATTTCGACAGTATACTACGCGCGCATCGTTAAATGAGTTACACTTTTAAATGACTTGTTCGGTTTGAATGTAGATTACTAAATTCTACTTAAACTTTTCGTCTGAAGGTATAACGCACACAAAGTACGCTAAAATTGAAATTTTAAAAGATAAATAATATGCTAAACAGATCCTCCGTTTACATTTCGTGAAGCTAGCTGTAATTGCATGAATACACTTAACATTTGAAAAATAGTCTTGTGTGTCGCTAAGCTTCTATATAATATTTTGAGGGCAGAAGGAACAATAGATAATACAAGACAAATTAACTCAAATTTCCGTTCCAAGTATCTGACTTAAATTAAAAAAACAAGATACTTTGGCTTCAACGTGGGTAAATTGTACGTTCGGCCATATCAGTACTGTTTGCTCAGTTAAATTTTCTATTCAGTAGGGACATGTATGTATTTTAGATTTGAATAAATATATTGCCGTACAGAATTTACAATATCATCGAACAATAATATGCATTCAACAAAAATTAAGTCGTTTAATCCTGTTTTCTAGAGATCTTAACCGCAATTTATAAACTCTCAGCGAAATCGTAAACAATCCTTTTGAAACTTGACTTTTCAAAATTTAGTTTTGAAACGTTATACGGCTGCTTTTTGAATATGGAAATGCAAGCCGTAATTTTAATGTGACGCAATATTGTAACAAAAATGTTCGCGCCTGATTTTATCAGTTCATGGCGGATAATATACAATATAGATTCGCGAAGCTTATTATATTAAGTTTATTTTAATTTTAACTTTAAAATAGTTAAAAGATTTTAAGCGGGTTAATATGAATTTATGCTTCAGTCGCTAAATGATATTTGCCAGATTCGGTAAATAAATACCCGTTTTTGGTTAATGAATGAATTCATTTTATGGCGGGAACGAAATACAGCGCTGAAAATGGAGGAAGGTTTCCTCTGGCAAGTAGTTATAGACCTGTGGTTTGAGTCAGAACACCCCTTGAAAGGGTTAAATAGACTTTGTTTTGACCGACGGAGGTCCTTCGCTTGAACGGTCGAAGCGCCTTCGCTTGAACGGTTGAAGCGTCTCAATCTTTGTTTTCAGCTGGTTCAGACACGATACACAAGACTTTATTATATATGGACCTTGACGATTCCTTGACAATTTCTGCCTTCTTTTATCGAGGGCACAAACTTCGTACGACGTACCGAAAGTCGCCTAAGCACTAGTAGTATATCGTTTTTTCCAACAAACATTTCAGATGCAATGAAACCATCAATCATCACTCAGTATAACTGTGTGTAATGGGGGTATATACAGTGCAGCAATATAACAAAAAAATTTCCATTGAGCAATTTTGCCTCTGTTTGCATCCATGCAACTGTTTTATCTTGGGACAATTATGGACCAGGACCTTTCTATTTTTCCTATAATTTCCTTACAATAAAGCAATCCGTCAATAAACTTTATTTCTTAAGCGTTCTATAGTTTCCTGTATATTGCCCCTCAAGCGATTTTTGCCATATTGACTGATTTGACCACTGTTTTAAATTGTCTTGGGAAGATTATGACTTATGACTATGCACATCTAATAAGAAACGAATATCAGGATTTATTTGGGGCATCAATTCAACTATATAGGGTTGAAGGATGGAAATTTTGAGACCTTATAATTAGGAACAATTGCCAAAAATGCAACTACGGATCCTCTGGCAGGCAGGAATAGAATCTGCAGCCATGCGATCATCAGACCGCTGATTGACAAATAAGTATATAACGTACGCTACGAAAAGCTCAAAGTTGATACATGTACTACTTTACTTATATAAACGGTCAAAATCTTATATGTGTCAAAATGTTTTAGGCCATATATTTTAGATATTTTCCGCGGGATTTTTCGTTTGTCTTATTTCCATAAATTGTAGAAAAACCGTTTTCAAAACTTCCACAATTCATCCCTCACGCACACAAAATGCATGCATATAATGATTGAACCCGGTCAAACAAGACGGAGAGTTGATGAAACTGGCGGTCACAAATTCAGTTACAGGGGACATTTCAAGCTCTATGTTAACAAGATAGAGGTTTGATAAGTGTTCTGACTACATTCTAACTTAAATACAATAGATAAAAGTGTTGGGAAAGCATTAAGAACAGTTATATCCTAGTTTGATCGGAGCAAACGAATTTCCATGTATATGAACAGCGTCTTAACATCAATATTCAGACTCTCATAAAAGTATAATATATAGCTATATACATGCATGCATTTCAGAATTTGCGTATTGGACTTAATCGTATAGTCAAGTATATACTTGAAAATGCTTCATTCTCAGAATAATTCCACGCTAGCGAGGTTCAATATTGGAATCAGCAGTTCAGTGGGAACCTAATTTCGGCCAGCGCTGTTCTTTTATTCAAAAAGCTCTTAATGTATTTTAATATGGGATTATATAATTTGCTCCATTAAAATTAAATGACCTTTCGGAATTCATCCGTTGAATTTCATCAGTATTCGGGCGTCAAAATTGCGTCAAAATTGTCAAAATTGTGTTGACCTTTTTCGTTTGTTTGTCATCAGCTGGGGAAATAGAATTAACAAACAAATTTTCGGAATGTTCAGTTGTATACTTCAATTGCATGTGGCTACTATTTTTTTTCGTTCTGCACGTATACTTTATCTGATAGTTTTGTTGCTATGATATCATAATATTTATTGTCTTTTTGGGAGTTTAATTGGCCTTTTAATTTTAAGAATTAATAAGAGATAATTTCAGCTTTATAGAGCACCTCATGCACATTGAAAAGAAAACGCAGTTGTGACGAGAATGGTTTCATTTTTGGCACATTCTCCCCTATAATATTGGCCAATTACTTACGTTGCGTATATAGAAGTAACATATACGCATGTTATATGCATGTATATGCTTCAATAGCTGATCTTGACATATATTAAGTGGAGGCAAACACGTATATATAGAAATTGAAAGGTTACGTTTGTAGATGGAAACTGATTCAAGTGTGAATTCCCGCCTACAATGTACTCTTCAACATTATCGAATGTGAGCCCAAAATAGTAGTAATCCTAATATTTTTTTTATAATTGTTCATTGCGCATATCGACGTCTGCCATCTGATGCCATTTCATAATGTGGCATTTATAATTATATGAGTTTATAGTCTTTATAGCTTTGCCTACAAATAATTATCTATGTGTTAATAAGAAGAGCACCGTTAGAGCCATTTTAACCGAGGCAAAGAATCCGAATATAAGTTGAGCGTCTTTTGCATTTAAGTTTCTAAATTGTTTCCTCTCGAAAACATTTTTGACAATATATTCGAATTGATCTTTTATCTTTACCGGACTTTTTCTCGAACGGTTAAAGATCAAAAGCGAATTTTAATCAACTCTTCTTCAACCGACAGTTTTCCGAAGTGAAGTCCAAACTTTCAATTGCATGCATGCGAACTTTGTACATTTTGATTGAGACACTCATGATCGTGAAATGACATTTGAGTGTTTTGCGGGTACGACGTACCGAAAGTCGCTTAAGCACTAGTAGTATATCATTTTTTCCAACAAACATTTTAGATGCAATGAAATCATCACTCAGTATAACTGTATGTAATGGGGGTATATATAGTGTAGCAATATAACAAAACAAGTTTTCCCTTGAGCAATTTTGCCTCTGTTTGCATCCATGCAACTGTTTTATCTTGGGACAATTATGGACCAGGACCTTTCTATTTTTCCTATAATTTTCTTACAATAAAGCAATCCGTCAATAAACTTTATTTCCTAAGTGTTCTATAGTCTCCTGTATTGGCCCTCAAGCGATTTTTCCATATTGATTTGACCATTGTTTTAAATTCTTTTGGGAAGATTATGGAATACATACATGACTTGCACATCTAATAAGAAAAGACGCATTAATAAATAAAAACATAAAGCATTAATATATCGCTCTTGTTGTCATTAAGATATCATGTCAAATTTGTTATCATGCAAATTACTCGTATACGCGGCCTAGAAAAAGATATCCTAATTCATATCTTACAATCCCAAACCGAAACGGTATATACCGCGGGCCGTTTATGAGGTTTATCATCGCCATCAACATTGTATATGCGGGATTTTTGCCTTTCAGCTGCAAATATTTGCTGACGTAACTTTTCTTCGACAATTGTCACGTTCTGCTGTTTAAACAATCCCTTAACAATGATAGGACAGCCTTATAATGAATGTTTCTAATTTATAATTATAGGAACTGACGTCGGAAATGTTTCTGTATACATGCATGAAATCCATGAGTAATTTTGACTCACAAACTTGGGTAAGATAGTGCACCCACTATGACTCCAAATTGTGAGTAATTTTTATGAGCAATTTTTTGAGTAAAATTCCGCAAACAATTTTGCTCATAAATTTGAGTACTATTACTTAGTCACAGCTGTGGTTGCATTATTTTTTCAAGTTTTAATTTGTAGTC